TTATGTATGCTACAGCAAGAGATGAAAAATCATTGCATAATTTAACATAAAATACAGTTGCATTTTGTTATTTTCTGATGTTAATATTAGCAGCTTCTTCTGGTATTAGAACTTGCATTTTTTATTTTCAGGCTTTGAGTAAAGCACTTTTGGTACTTCGAGCAGAAATGACTGCTAATGCTGAACAGCAGATAATTTCTGCAGCATCACAAAAAGAAGCATACATGAACGTTCAGGAGATAGTTGACAGAGAAACAAAGAGGCTCATGGTGAGTACAAGGTAATATCTTTGTATTGTATTATTTGTATCTGGTATATCTTGATGGGTTTTTTTATGGTTTTTTTTTTTTTTTTTTTTTTTTTTTTTTCCTCTAGACTCAGATAGAGGAACTAAATAATCAGATTTCAAAACTTACAGATAACCTTAAACTAAGTAAAAACAGGGAGAGTGCTTTGTTAGATGAAAGGGATGAACTGAACCAAGAACTTCAGAGGAAACAAAAGGCACTTAATAAAATGATGAGAGAAAAAAATGAAATCGAAATGGAAAATGAAGAACTGAAGAAACGGATCAGGAGGCTAACCAGTGGTATTCAGGTAGAAGACATTTTTAAAACTGTATTTCATCTTGGTCACACTTTTATACTAGATGGGCTGGCTTGATGGAGGATTAACTACCTTTGACAGGCATTGAGACCAACACTCAGTTTAAAACTGTATGATTGCTATCAGCTGGGTTACACATAAGCTATTAGTTTTTCCTGCTGGAAGAATGTCTCAGATACATTGAACAGGCTAAAAATTACTTTTTCTTTGTAACAAATTTAAGACTCTGAAGAGATGAATTGCCACTTTTAAAGCTGCTACGGATGGCTAGCTTGAATTTTGTGATCTTCCTGTCTGCCCTCGCTTCTCTGTTCCAAAGTATAACTGTCTCAACTTTGTTTTTGAAATCAACTACTTACTACTGAATTAAGTTTAGAATACATTTGTTGAATGAATTGTTGAATTAATTGTTGAAGTAAACATAATTTTTAAAGTATCATTTAGGTTGTAAGCTACTTCTACCAATTGGAATTCAAATCTTTATTTTTGGTGGAGAGAAAAATACTTAGGTAGTGGTCACTAAACTTTAAGTTGAGAGTTTGTAATTTTCCAGAACAGAGCTGGTGAGCAAAATCTGGTTGATGAACTTCAGAAGAAAGTTAAGAAATTGGAAAATGAACTTGAGAAGAAGTGTGAAGAAATAGAAAAAAAAAGTATAAAAGAAGACAAGGTATGTGATAAATATAAATACTGTGGCTTTGAAAGATATCATCCTAAAGGTAGGCAGTTCAGCTTTTTCCTCTGCCTCCTAAAACAACCGTGAACCAGCCAAACTTGATCAAATCAAAAGCAGTTTCATGTCAGTAACTTTTTTGTATTCCCCGCTGAATACAAACAGTAACAAAAGTAACAACAGTTACTGTTTGTTGCTTAGTACAAAGTGCTTGTATTTTAATGCTTTCCTGCCCTTTTTTTTTGTAGAATTGAAAGTCCACAGGTTGTAGAAAACTAAGATTTTACAGGTAGCAGTGAAATTGATTAAGTAAGTGAGGTTAAATGCTCATTTACAAAATCAGTGCAGTGATAAAAATGTGAAGTACTTGAGCAAAAAGTGGGAAGTGATTATGTATCTAAGTGGTTATTCCTCACAAAAGCAGTTTCCACTTCCAGGAAGTTATGATGTTCTGGAGATGTGTTCATTTTACCATTGTTTGTTTTTCTGCTTGTTATTTTTCCATTTCAGTAACTAAATACTGGCTTGTCACAGTAATCATTCATACTCTTTATGATATTAAGTATGATTTCAAGACTAAAGTTATGCTTCCAGTTAGTTTGAGATTTTTTATATACTTACTGCTTAGTGTTTAAAGACATTTTTCACAAACTTTTTTTTGTTCCTTTTTCCCAAGAATTTACTTTCTGTCTGTCTTTTAATAACTGTAACTTTAGCGTGAAGACAGGACAGAAAGTACAGGGATGAAATGAAGGAAAGGAAACATCCAGCGACACAATAAAACGGTTGCTTACAGGATGATTTTTCAGTAGTCATTTGTGATCACATTCATACAGGTCTTAATTGATGTGTGTTTTATAAGCACTTAATTTTAACTGTAAGAAAGTATAGTAAGAAAGTACAGAAATGGACAGCTTTGCAGCAGGAGCGTAAAACCTCCTGGTGAGCTGCAAGGAAAAGGATAGCTATCCTGAAAATTGGCATAGAAAAGCCCTTCTTTTTCTTTAATTTTACAAACTTCTTTACAAGCCTGTAATTTAAATTAAAAGGATATATTTCACAAGCACGTCTAATTTTTTTTTTTAATCTGTCACTTTATTTTTTTTTTTAAGTGAACATTAAAATGTGAAGATGAATTTGATAATGTAACATTAAATTGCATCAGCCTTTTATGCCAGTTACTGCAGCAAGTTTAGAGTATCCAGCTTGGACTGATTTTTACTAATTATGGTTTGATGTTTCAAATTTTAAAATGTAAAATATGCTGTGCATGGTTTTCCAATGTGTTGTTTCCTTTAAGAAAACAGTTTGAAAAGAAATACATAATTTGTGTATGCGCTTCACAGACCTCGAAAGAGGAAATAATCAGATGGGAAGAAAGTAAAAAATGGCAAATCAGAATGGAAGGGATGCGGAATAAACTTAAAGAAAAGGAAAAGGAAACCGATATGTTAGCTAAACAGTTAACCACACTGAAGGAACTTTATTCCAAGTGAGTTGTTTTTCATACATTCTTCTACAAAGTGATGGTATAGGAGAAATCCAAATATTTCTGCCACATAATCATACCAGTTCATTACAAGATGGATGCCTACATTTGATATTGCTATTGAGATTAAAATAATTGTTTAATTTTCAGGCAGCAGGCCACTCCTTTAGTATCCTTTCACTTGCAGAAAAAAAATACAAGGTTTCTTTTCTTCTACACCTATAGAATTAACTGTCTATGAATAAAACTCATCTATGTGCATTATTATGCTTCTTGTATGTGGTGTTCTGTTGTTTCCCTGAAACAAGTAAAAGTTTCAGCGAAACGGACTGAATCTTACCTCAGTGTTATTGAATCAGACTATTAGAGTGGGTGGTGTGCCACTGTTGTGTTATGCTACTGCAGTACTGACGGTTCTAGCATGATGACACAAACTTTTTTTTTCAACAAAACGTAACAAAAAAACCAACCACATTTGTATGGCTTCCATGAAAGTTAAGTTTACTTCAGTACAGTAATGGCAGGATTGCAGTGATGATGGTTGGTGATGACCTCCAAATGATGATGGTAGTTGTAACTGTTAGATTGTTGATTGGAATTGCTTCAAAATGGCATTTGTCTGAGGTTAGAGCAAATCTCTCAGGAATTTAAGACAAAACACAGGCAAGAACAACAAATGGCTTGTGACTAGAGTGCTGCTAACTTCACAGTTGCTATTTTTTCCAGTATTTGTGATTGATTGATTGATTGATTGATTTATGTAAAGCTGTCACTATTTGTATGGTAACTTTAACTAAAGAAAAGAGTGGTGCAGTACAGTGATAAAATAAATTACAAGATTTCAGGTAGGAAATAAATTTTCTCCCAAAGAAAGCAAGTCAGCAAATGCAAATAAAGTTTTAGCTTCTATTTTATTGCATCTTGCAGGACTGAAAAGGAGAAAAGTACTCTTCAGAAGAAACTAAAAAATACTGGTGTTACTGTTGACCGTGTTGTTGGAGTAAGAGTTTCAGAGTCTGAAAAAGAACTGGATGAACTAAGGAAACGGAATTTAAATTTAGAAAATGAAGTTGCTCACATGAGGTGAGAGGCATTTCAAGAAAATCTGTAAAAAATATGAAATCATAGTATCATAGAATTGCTCAGGTTGGAAAAGACCTCATAGATCATGGAGTCTAAACACAGTGTAACCATACTACCCTACCTCTAACAACCCTCTGCTAAATCATGTCCCTGAGCACCACATCCAAATGGATTTTAAACACATGCAGGGATGGTGACTCAACCACCTCCCCGGGGAGCCTATTGCAGTGCTTAACAACACTTTCGTAAAGAAGTTTTTCTCATCAAAATGAGAAAAGATCTGTGTAAAGATCCATTAGTTCTGTGATACAGTAGTGATACAATTAGCAAAAAAAAAAACAAAAAAGGAAAAGAAAAAAAACCAAACCAAAACAACACAAAAAAACCGACCAGGTTGCAAGAGCTCTATGAGTCTGTGAGGAACAAACTTAAAGTTTCCAGGGAGCAATTGTGCATGTACAGAGATTATACAACATTGTTTTGTTATTTTAAAAGTGAAACACTTTAAAAATATTTGACTCCTTTTAAGTGAAGTTGTAATAATTTCAAGTTGATGAAAGATTCTGGAACTTAGATGTTGTGGTTATGGAGTCTGTTCCTAATCATTATATCCATTATTGCAGTGCATAGTGTACCTCAGTAATAGAAGGTGTACACATCTTAAAAGAGCAGATTCCTTTTCCCAAAATAGGTACTTTTGATTCATGGAGATTGGCTGATGTAGTGTATATGGATAACACTGATTTAGTATGACTAGTCCATTAAAATTAGAAGTTTCAGTCCAGTAGTCCAGAAGCCAGAAGCTCACATTTGTTTTACATAAAGGTATGCTGTTCTGTATTAATAGCCATTTTTCATTTTGGCTTGATTCATTTTTGGATGTAGAACACAGCAAGCAATTCCACGAGATTCTGTTGTAGAAGAATTACATTTAAAAAATCAATACCTTCAGGAAAAGCTTCATGAATTGCAGAGACAGTGTTCAAAAGAGACATATTCTAGGCCCTCGGTAAGTTAATAATATGACTATCACCACTCCACCTACTTAACAAAAATATTTATTATCTGTTACTATTCTATATCATTTGGGAAATTTTATTTCAAATAATCATTGTTCAAAAACAGAATATGAAATTTCTTGTATAGAAAAAAAGAACTAGTTTCTGAGTTCTGCTAAAATGGTAGAAGCTGAAATACTCCATTTCCTATAGTGGAGAAATAAGGGATATATATTGTCAAAAATGTGAGTCTGCAACTGAGTGACTACTTTATTCACCATGTTGATTGAAAAATGCGGCGCGCAGTTTGAGGAGATTTTTAGCTGCATTTGTTACATTAGATGTGGTTTGTTCTGCTTTGATTTGTACAAAGTTAACTGTATCGTGAATATTGAGTTACTACATTTTCTTAATTCTTCAGGACATAGATTCAACAGTACAGTCTGTTTCTTTATTTCTTCTTTTGTTTTACTGTCTTCTGCTTTTCTTGCATGCTTCATTCTGTCCTCAACTTGAATTAGAGTGCATATTATCAAACTGAACTGAACGAGTCTCTTCCTGTCAGTGTCAATAAAAAGAAGCGTTTGAATTACCTTCCAAAGAAATCTGTTTCAAATAGGGATGAAATCAAACATCAGACTAATCTTAGCACTTCTGATAACAATGAAATAGATGAGGAAGCAAGCATACAAAGTTCCTTTGTGCATAATGAAAGCCGTGAGGCTACCAGGGATGCAGGCACAGAAGTCAGTCCTGAGCAGCAGCGTCCTGAAGATAATGAAAAGTGCGAAGACGCAGATATTTCTCGGGAAGGATTGAAAAGCAACAGTACAACTCAAGATGGTGAAGAGAATTGCAGTAATAAAGAAGAAGATGTAGCCCAGCCTGAGAATAGAAAAACTAATGAGGAATTTGAAGAGGAGGACAGAAAGCAAGAAATATGCAAGCAATCAAATGTTGATGAAGAAGAAAGTGAGGAAGAGCTTTATCCTGACAGAAGGAGCTGCAATCACTTTTATTCGGGAGAACCTTCTAATCAAGTTAATGATGATGAAGGACAAAGAATCAAAGAAATTAATCAACACACCGCAGAGAATAAATGTGAAACTTACCTAAGTGATACAGAGGGAGTTGAAACAACCCCAAAACCCTGTGAAATGCCTGAGGTTGGATACTGTAGCAATCCTCTTGCATTTTTTCTGTAGATGTGACATAGAATAGTTTTGAATGGTCTGCAGCGATATTAAAGTCATTACCAAATGGTTCATAAAAACAAATCTTACACTTTCACAATTCATTTGTATGTCAGCTCACAGCTAAGTTGTCAATTCTATAGTTTTGATGCAAAAAGCTTACAAATAATCATAATGATGCATGCAGCCCAATGATCATTCTTTAGAGACTTATGGCGTGATATTACATACCTTTAGAAAAAATGTCCTATACTGAAACAGTACTTTTTTCATATTATCTTAACAGTGCATTAATGGTTCACATGGTTAATTCTATAATTACATAAATAAAACCTACAGATTATTGTATCGTCAAAAGGATTTCATCTTCACTAATATTAGCTAATAATTTTTCATATACCTACACTTGCAATTGGCATGCAAAGTACTTTTTATGCTATAGCCTCTGTGGGTAAAGTCTTAAAATATAGGAACTTATTTGTTCAGTGATCTATTTGACCTCATTTAAATTCTTATGCTATATGAAGTATTTAATAAACATATCAGAATATATTCTTAAAATTAGATTTTGTTCCCAGGTAGCGTCACAGCAGTTTACTATACTCAGCACCTTTTGTCTCTTTTAGAAAAGACAAAAGTTCATTTGTAACCAATAGTTTGATAGTTAATTGTCGTTTGGCATGGTTTTTTTTATGAGTTTATGCTCGTTTGTAAGCTTTTTGTAAAGGCTAATCAAGTTTAGAAAATATAAGAAAAATAGTTAGAATCTCAGAATCATATAACCATTAAGGTTGGAAAGGACCTGTAAGATCACCTAGTCCAAATGTCAGTGCATTATCACCATGCCCCACTAAACCATGTCCCTAAGACAAAATAGGTTAGATCTTGGTCGTTGGTGATACAACTCCGATCAGTTATATGCCACAAAATGTCTGTGATGAAAAAATTCCAAAAAAGATGGTAAACATTTTGTTTTGATTTTTTTTTCTGTGCAAACTACTAATCATCTGTTGCTGTTATCAGCTACAACTGGTGCAGCGAATAGTGTCCTATGATTTAATAATAATTATTTTTTCCTGTTTTCTGAAGACCTCAGGAGTAGGATCAGATGATCAATATCGAAGAGAACAAGAGGTTCTAAAGGAAAATCTAAGATTATCGTCTGAAAACGTTGAGCTAAGATTCCAGCTAGAGCAAGCCAACAGAGATTTGCCAAGATTAAAGGTAACATCTCTTTACCATTTGTCCCCTTTCAGCTGGTGCAGGTTAGTGGATTTTGTACAAAGAAACTGATGTTTGTATATTTTCTGTGTTCCTCATGTTCTTATGTAAGATAAAAGAAAGCTTGGTAGAAATTATTAAAAATTTCACTATAATGGGAAATTGTTTGTTTGTTTGTTTGTTTAATAAAACCAACTGTAACTTTGTTTCTTAATCTCAAACTTAAATCTAAATAAATAAGTTCCTTATTACTTTGTTCTATTAGGACCAAGTAAGTGACTTAAAAGAAATGTGTGAACTTCTCAAAAAGGAGAAAGTCGATGTTGAAAGAAAACTAAGCAGTGTTAGAGGGGTGAGTACTGCAACAACATTTTTCATCACAGTTACATACACAGTTATATGAAAAAATATTTTATTTAAGGTAAATTATTTTGAATGAATTGAAAGCAAACAGTGAATGTTCTTGTTTATTTTACCGTTGAAGTGTTACAACAAATTAATAAAATTCAGTCATTAGGACCATTAGAATGAATAGAGCTACTATATTAAATATTTGCAGTATTGAAGCTTTGTTTTGTCATTTGCATTAAACCTGTTTTCAGAATCATGTTTGTACCAAAAAGAGGAGTTACAGCATTTGTAATAAAAACTACACTTATAAAAGCTTTTTTTATTTGATGCAGATGTTAATGTAACTTGTTAGTGAAGGTGTTTTACTATGCAAGACTACACAGATTTTACATTAGCCATTGTCAGCTGCTTTAATGGAGCAATGTTTGAAAAGTTACAGGAAAAAAAGCTTCTGTAATGCTGAGTGCCTTTCCTTTTGCTGACTTCTCAAATTTATTTGTGTGAAGCAGAATTAAGCAAGTGCCTTGAATTATACAAGGAGAATGAATTCTGCTATGGGGTACCTGGAAAGAATTGTATCTTAGGCAGTTGTAGCTTTTGGATAAGGCAGTTCAGTCTGTAAAACTGCTTCATTCAAAGATTCTGAGGAGGCAGCAAATTCTGAAACTTCCTTTTCAGACACAAAGATCTGTTAGGGGCTTTTCTCTGGTTCTGCTGTGTACAGCCACAAAGCTTTTAATCTCTTCAGAGCTTTTTGAGAAGCAAGAAGTAATTTTCACTTCCAAAACTTGCCTCACTGTGTATGTTTATACAGGGCTCCTAAAATCTTCCCCATTTTCTGCTCTACTGTGGTTCTTACCTCTATGGAGAAGAGGTACTTCTGGCCCCAAAATTGGAAACAGCAGCATTTTTAAATCGTTATTGCTGAGGAAGTCCATTGCTGCAAAGAATATAAATAAATTAAGGAATTTGAACACTCTTAAAGTACTTTTCTACCTCATAAATAGAATGGCTGAAGAAAAATAGAGAAAATAGTTGTGGATCGCCTTTTTTTTTTTTTTTTTTTTTTTTAACTTACATATGCTTTAAGCTGTATTTCTTTTGCCACTTTAATTTGTAGAAGTATGGTTGCTTTAAAAAAAATAATAAAAATAAAGCGCTTTTTTAGTCCTTTAAGCTCACAGGTAGGCACTACTTCTTTTTTCCCCTTTAGATAGTGTTAGTATTCAAGCAGTTGCACAGTCAGTTGGATCAGGAAACCACTCTACAAGAAAAACAATTAAAAAAATAAAAAATCAAAACCAACTAAACAAAAAAAAAACCTAACAGCAAAATAAAACCTACTACTTTGATTTATCCTTATAATGTTTCATTTTATTTTATAAAATACATAAAATTTTGAGATTTAACTGCAGCTTTTTTAGGTAACAAGTTGAGGGAGCTGATAATTTGACTGTGGAGGTGAATGATCTTTTGGAAAGTTAAGTATGCAAGAATCTTGAGGATACAAATGACGCTAAACTTTAACAACTTTATAATGAATATAATAAAATGGAAAATATGCCATAAAAATAAGAATTGAAGTATCTTAGAAGGTTGTGTTGTATCTTTTCTTTTTTTTCTGCACAGGCTGGCAGAAGTGGAAAGACAGTCCCGGAATTGGAAAAAACTATTGGTTTGATGAAAAAGGTGGTAGAGAGAGTCCAAAGAGAAAATGAAGATCTGAAAAAAGCTCCAGCTGTGGTTTCTAATGAGAAATTACTTGGTCTTGAACAGGAAAATGAGAGGCTAAAGGTACTGATTTATCTTAAGTAGTATATTCAAATGGGAGTTCATATACAAATTAGTAGGAAAATTGAACAGCAAGCCTGTTGTTGATGTTGACTAGTACAAAAGTGGCCAGAACTAAAATTTCATTTTAGCATAAGTACTGCATGATTTATGTAAAGATAATTTGTATGTTAAGATAAATTTAAATATGTGATGAAATGTTCAGTCTGCAGTCTGTACTGTACTGTAACTGTCAGTTATATTCAGTGACTGTAACTGTGCTTCAAAAAAGGAAATTTGAAGTAATGTAAGTATGTTTTAACAAACTATTTACTATTCAGTCTGAAATGAAAAAAATGAAACTTGATCTTGGGAGCCAGCTGAGTATGCATTACGAATCTAAAACCAAAGGAATGGAAAAAGTCATTACTGAAAATGAGAGGCTACGTAAAGAGCTGAAAAAGGTATGATCATTGCAGTGATTATTTATTTATATTATGATTATATATGATGATATTTATTTATATATGATCTGATTTATGATAATTTATTTCCATTCGCTACTTGTTGTGCTAAGTATCTTTTTTCTTTTTAAAATGGTCAATGTGGTGGATATTTTTCTAAGAATTGCTATTGCCATTACAGAACTTTTAATTTCATGTGGAGGGGATACATCTAAGATACAGGCTGAGACAGAATTTGGAAGCTAGTGGTCTGATACATGTATCTGTGATACACTGTCAGCTCTGTCTCACCACATTTTTAGGTAATGCAGTGCTACATATAAGGTTAAGTATCATGCAACTTTTTTTTTTATTGAACAACAGGAAGCTGACAGTGGAGAGAAGCTACGAATAGCAAAGAACAATTTGGAGATATTAAATGAGAAATTAACTGTACAGCTGAAGGAAGCCATTAAGAGGCTAAATTTGGCTGAAAACACAGGCTCTCAGCTTGATGAAACTGACAGGAAAATCTGGAAATCGGTTGCTGTAGCAAGGTATGGATTAAAATTATTCTTCAGTTCTCAAATATTATCAAAAAATACACATTTATATTTTCATAATTTTTCTTTCCTCAGACAGTGCTTATTGTCTGACTCTATTAATAGTCTGTAGAATCAGTACAAAAATTCACCAGAGATCTACTATCCTTAAGCGCTGGCCTTGTTAGCTGTTCTGTAAAGAAGTTGTGTTCTCCCTTCTTCACCTTTAGACTCCAGGATAGCTTTGGCAGAGGAACGATTTTGTGTTCCTTGCTTCTTAAACGTACTGAATGTGTGTTCAGCATTTTTGAACCTAAAAAACACAGACTTTAGTATCTTAGCAAAAGGATAGCAATATGAGTGGGGGGGGGGCGAGGGGGGGGGAAGGGAGAAGATAAAAACAGAGGCCCGGAACCTTCATTTTCCTAGTTGCATTTGTATATCAACATTTAACCATGTGGCTGTGCGGAGGTTGTTTGTAAGCCCACTGGGATTTCTGTGTTCTTTGGGACAAGTACATGTAGGTGTTCTGAAGGCCGTGAAATGAAGTCAGCCTGGTAGTCCTGTTATTTGTAGTAGAAGGGAGAACTGGATCGTGTTTTCCAATGTAAAAAGAAGTGTGGAATCACCCTTTCCTAGCTTTGTAGATAAAATTCAAACTTTGAAAATCATCATAAAAAATTACTGTTGGTAATAATAGTGAATATCTACAACTCTTTACTAATCACTTATCTAAAACTTATCTACCCATTGTTCTGAAACTGAGGTACTACTTACATCATAGTGTGGCACACACTAAAAAACAAAGCAGTTTTATGACACCAATTTCTGCTCTACAAGTTAGACATGCATTATTATTTTGTTGCTCCTTCTGAAGATAGTTCCGATGCTTTTTCTATGACAAGCTACTTATACAGACTGGAGATCTTAACTCAGCAGACAGAGCAACTTTTAATGGCATTTTTTTCTTTGATAGAAGCAAGTTGCTTTGAACTGTTTTGTGGTTTGCTTACAGCAGTTATTTTAGTGAGCAATCACCCCCAAAAGCATTGCCAGTCCAAAAACATTACTGTTAACACCTGCTTTGAATGAGCTTTTGAATGAGCTGCATGCAAAGATAATATTCACGTGTCTCACTTGCATGTTTAATGATGAACAGATTGATACAGAATACTGATATAAGATACATGTGAAAATGGAGAATGAATAATTTTATCACTCTTTGAGGGAAAAGTTTTTCGGTATCACCTCCTGTACTTGGCACATCAAAGAATAAGAAATTGAAATAGTGTGTATGCAAGTGGGAGAAAGAAACAGCATCTATCCCGCAGAGGCAGGGAACAGAGCAGGTTTTTGTGGAAAAATACTTAGCCCTGGGCTTCTACATGATGTCATAGTAAGTTCAGGCTGCAAAAATACCTTCAGTGTTTACAAACAGAGATAGATAAACTTTTTGCAGATACTTTCTAGCTCTGGCAGCAACCTTGTAAGGGCAGAAAATTAACCATACAAGAGAGACATCTGTCTGATTTCAGACAGGGTCAGCTTGTTGTTGAACTTCAGTCCCTCTAGCCTTGTATTCCGGTGGGATCGCTTGGCAGAATTGTAGAGCTTCTCTGACACACAGCTGAACCATTTCACTTCACTGAGACTTTAGAAAGCTGTTCCTTTATTTTCTCTTTCTGCCTAACTACATAGTGAGGTAAAATGTCTACATGCAAGGTCAGATGACTGTTATATTTAGTGCGAGGAAGAGGGGAACACTGGCTGCCAGCCACAGGAGGAAGAAGAATGTGTGTTGAAGGTGTAGACCCTTAAGGCCTTACGTTACCAGCTTAATGCTTGAATAAAGTTTCTCTTTTAATTAGTCACCTTTTTGAAAAACATTTGTACTAACTTCTTTTTAGTTGATGTACGTAGTTGTGTACAGTAATGTCTGTATGTATACACACGTGTATGCATGAGAGCTGCTCCAAAAGTAATGCCTCCTATTTCATTATGTTGACTCAAGACACCAGTGGCAAAGAGTGGTGGTATGGAAATAGAAACTGAACCTTCTGGCCCACAGTCTGTTGCGTTTTGTTGCCATGAGACGGATGGCAGCAGAGGAACAGCATCTGGTATAGGGAGTGCATATGAAGCAAAGGCATGTAACTGAATTCCTCTGCGTGGAAAAAGTTGCACCCATTCACATTCATCAACACTTGCTGAACATTTCTGGAGACTGAACAGTGGATGTGAGCATAGTGAGGCAGTGGGTGATGCATTTTAGCAGTAGTGAAGTGGGTCACCTCCGCTGGTACAGATTTGTACAAGCATACCATGCAGGCTTTTGTTCATCACTGGCAGAAAAAATTCACAGCTAATATTGGTGACTATGTTGAAATATAGTGTTTTGTAGAGCAGAGTCTCACCTGTCATATAGCATTACTGTTGGAAAGCTCTCTACTTTCCACAGAAATAAACAGGAAGCATTACTTTCAGAGAAACCTATGTATATAAATATAGCATCATGACTAATTATACTTGACCATTTCAAATGGTGTGAATAAAAACTTTTTATTTGGTTTAACATGGTTTAAGATCAACAACATTTTGAAGTAAATAAATAGTACCAACCTAGAAAAGCTCACTGGAGCACTTTATCATGCAGTCCACCTCACCAACATATTTTCCAGAGGTAAATGGTAATAAAAAGTCCTTGGGCATCACCTACATGATCATTGGGATTTTACCATTTGGCATGTAGGAAGAGGTTAGAATCCACATCTGAAAAGCCTCTTCAGCAGGAATACTGGAATAGATATCTCTAGCGGTGTCTTGCAATCAACATTTCCGTATTTCTATAAAAATATTTTTGTAGCAGGCTCAAAGCAAAATGGATTCCTCCTCAGACTCCAAGACAGAACATCGTTTCTCGTAGAACACTTTGTGAACACTTTTTCTGTTCAGTCTGCATCTCCTGCATCTGTATTAAGCTTTTTTTTTTTCTTTGTACTACATTGATTTATTTTCCATTAATTGTTAAATCACAATGAAGACAGAGCTGAGAAATGCATCATCCAACTTAATGCAGCAAGAGACATGCATGGTTTAGCAAGAAATAGCCTGGTGTATACATGCAGAACCATACAGGATTCCTGTAACTCCTTGTCAGAGTATAAACGTGTAAGGTCAGCAATGGCAGAACATTTGGAAGAACCTTTATTCTAAAATTAAAAAAAATACTAAAATGTTTCATTATGCTTAATTCAGCTCACTCACTTATTAAATAAGATCAGTGATTATTTGAAGGCCTCTGCTCCAAACATATTTTAGGGTGTCTTTTACAACACCTTACCTGCTTTGAGAATATCCTGATTTTTATTTTTTTGTATTTTCTCTTATATTTTTCTCTTTAAATATTAATAACCATAATAATCGTAACACCAGGATGCATGAAGCAAAGATGAAGGAATTGGAAATGGATATTGCTAAAAAAACCCAAAGCATTATTGACCTTAAACGGCTGCTTCAGGAGGCAACAGAACGTGAACACAATGCTGATAAAAACTTACAGGATCTAAAAGAACAAGTGAGTAAAAATCTAAGCCAGATGAGTCTAAGAATACATTGATTAATTTTAATTTCCTTCTGATGTCCACACTGACAGTTTATTTTTCTCTCTGTTTTTAATTATTTTCAGTTTTAGTTGCCATAATTGTACATTTAAATATTTTCGATGATGAATAAGGATTACCACTTACCAATACATATAGATGCCTTCCCCTTCTTACAGGAAATAGTATTTCTTCATATATTTCTTAAAATCATTCTAGCTTGTTCAGCAAAGTAATTTTCCTACAGGAACTTTCTTCTTTCTACAAGTCTTTTTGGGAGACTGACTTTTCCATCCTATAGAGGATTTCTGTGTTTCTTTCCAATATGGCATCGTACTACACAGCCTTTACAATAAGTTCTTACAAATATACTTCACACATGGAAGAGTTACTGAATTTGACTAAGGAACACTTGAAAAAATGGATCAGATTTTGACTTTCAAGTATGCCAGGGACGTAGGCCTATGTCTGTGTACCTGGATTAACCTTAGCTTCCATCTTCTTGTTTATTAAGAAGTGGATGGTTTTCTTCCCTGAACATCTCGCACTGGCAGTTCTCAGAGTAAAGTGCTGAATACACATAAGTCAGACATTATCTAACCAAGTAAATGCGTTCAATAAATAGAAAAAGGACATGGAATGGAGTTTTGCAAAATAATTACTTTAAGCTTTGTTTATGTTTGCTTTTCTCCTTCTGGTTTAAAGTCAGCACTATTAACATGAACAAGCCTCTCCCGAACTGCTGGATCCTTCTTACCAATAGCAAAATTAAGAGAAAATTATTTTATTATGTGACATTACTCTGAGGCAACACAATTTCAGGTTTGTTTTGTCTCAAATGCAAATGAAGGGATGTGGTCAACGTTCATTCCATTTCAAAGAAACAGAGATCTACTGTCAAAGAGTTAGAACCAAAATCTATACCTAACAGTAGCCTTACGAGAGTTCATAAATGATCACTCTAAAAAAAAAATCTAATTTCAAAGACTTTAAATTTTTGCTCTTGTATCTTTTACTGAAAGGTACATCTACAGGCTAACTCCCTCTCTGCTTCTAGTTTATGACTGCAGATCATTTCTAGTCAGTGTCCATGACAAGTGTACATTAATTTGAGTTTTAATTGCAGTTACTTGCATTTCAAATGACACAAAGAAACTTGAGACACCTATGTATGCAAACAAACATGTCATTACCTTTAGTGTATTATCACTTTCATAAGTATATCTATACATTATTCTGATGTCTCAATTTATGTTCCTAGCATTCTTTTCAAAACCTTTTTTTCCAACCTTCATGAAATATGCAGTGCAGCTTAGCTTTAAGAGGACTGCAGGTAATTAGAAACTTTGAAGAAACTGGTTGTTGGTTATTACTTTTTTTCTCTTCCACCCTTTGTGATCACCTAGTACTTGGTTAAACCATTAGTATATTAGTGTCATTTTCTTTCATTTCATTAAACTGTGCCAAAGAGAAGTCACTAACTCCATGTGAAATACACTATCTGTGGATACTGCTCTCAAGACTGACTTTGCTTGTTTGTTTAACTTTTCTTTCAAGATTGAGCTTCTCAGCCACCTTCCTGAAGGTGCAAGGACAGAGCAAGGCCTCATCAGGGAGCTTCAGCTTTTAAGGTACTATATTCCTCAGCCAACATATATGAAATGAGAACGATCAACAAAAAGCCACTGCAGTTTTTAATTATGTGTTACTTATTTCAAAACACGTTAATATTTTTAAAATTATTTAAAAATTCTTTTATATTCCAGATTAACTAATAGCGAATTAAAGGAAGAAAAAGCAGAGCTAGTACGCCAGATAGAAGACTATAAGCACCAGATAAACGTGTACACCAGTGAGGGTCCTGCACCTGGTAATCATTTCCAATATCTAAAATAAAGATTTTTGTGTAGCCTGGGCCTAAAAGTATTTTTACTTAATATGTGTGCAAAATGATAATATAATCCAAATATTTCTGTAGTTCTATTAATGCCAATGTGTCATAAACTGGAGCAAATTAAGGTCCCTGATGTTTGAGAATTTACCTAAGATAGTTATAAAGAAGTATTAGTAAAAGTTACTTTGAGGAAGAGGCTGGAATCTTTGCAAGATTTCCCTTTCTAAGAAGTGAATTTCATGCTTTATAAACCTTAAATAGTGCTTGTAAGACTTCAGTCATTCATTAAAACCCTCCTGCTTACTCCTCTTGCCTTGGGTTCCAGGCTGCCAGAAAACAAGTGTCTATTTCAGGATACCAGCCCTGTGGATGATTTAAGATTAGCAGCTGTCAGAAAAAGCCACAGTAAAAGCAAGGAGTGCTGTAGAGCAGCATACTGCCAAAAGACAAAAAAAGAAAAAAAAAACAACAAAACAAAACCAACACATTCTTGAATCGTGAATATAATTAATAAGATCCTTAAATTCTCTTTTCCAAATTTTCTGTATCAGAGAAACTGCACATGTATTTTTCAGAAACGTGCTAATAGACTGGTCATTTGAATACTGCCTTCAATAACAAGAATTATATACCATTACCTAACTTGTGGAAGAACCAAAGAATAGCCAAGATGATTTGAAATTTTGGTGGCTGTTGATCACAACTGAGTTTACACACTGCTTCTCTTTACAGTTGAAACAGCTGAAGTATTATTGTAACAAATTTAGTCATGTAATTGATTATACTTACCTGAAATTTCCTATCAAGTCAATACTTTTTGCAGGAAATACTGAAGTTTCAAAGAAGGATAAAAATGATAACTTAATGACAGAAGTAGCAGACCTCCAGGCACAGCTGAAAGCCTCTGAGTTGGAGAAAGAGCAGCTAAAGGTGAGTTGCAGAGATGATCTTTGGCAAGATAATGAGCACAACTATAGTCAGCTAGAAGAACCTATTTAATATCCCAAATAACACTAAAACAAGTCAATTTGTCACCACTGCGCCTATGAAACTGATTTTGTTAGTGAATTTTCTCTTCCCGAGTACATTTGTCTGTAGTAGAACATATGTTCTCTGAAGAGAAAGGCAGAAAAGCTGTTGATGACAAGTATTCCCTAAGTTCTGGTTATCCCTTTGTTCTTTGCAATAGGAAGAAACAAAAAAGTTGAGAAAAGAACTGGAAAACTTCAATCCTTCCTTTTTTGAAGAAATTGAAGATCTGAAATACAACTATAATGAAGAATTAAAAAAAAATATTATTTTAGAAGAAAGATTAAAGAAGCTGTCCGAAGAGTTTGGCATGCAAGTGATTAGCCCAGCCAATACTTCCGTTGATTAGGCATTTAGTTTCCTCAGCACTGACAAGGAAAATAAATTCTAGGGCAGCTACATCATACTGATTTGTCTGTCATTCCAGGTTAAAAAATAAAATAAAAATACTGAAATTCACAGCTTGCTCAATTGATTAAGTCAATGTATTGTGGTCAATATTTACATACACCAGTCAAAATAAAAACCAGTTTTACCTCCCCCATCTACTCTGCAATATTATTCAGAAAACTAATTGCAGTAATACATGTTTTTAAGAAGTCTGAGTTCTCAACTCTAACCAGAAGTTCAGAAACTCTGAAAGCACCTTACATATGGTAAATTCCAGATCAACAATACTGTAATTTATTCTGTCTTGCATCTCAAACAGTAGACAGTGTTGTGGTCGTCTCTGCTCTTACAACGTTAATTATTTTTACCTCAATTATAGAAAATTCAAGAATAAAGAATGGAAAACATTCTTGCAGTACATCAGCCAAACTAGCAGTATTTTTGTAGATAAATGTACAGTTACCATGTGAATTTTTTCATTCTGTATACTTTATACATATAGATGTAAACTTTTGTAGCACAAATAAAAGGCCACTCAAACCACTATGCATTCTTACTTTATTATTTGTGCCATCTTTTTTCAAATACTTAATATGTGCTTCGTAAATTTAGATGCAGTCTTAAAATGGGTACTACGAAGTCAAATCTCTCACTAAGAATCTTCAAGATAGAATGAGCATGCTTCCTTTTACTTCCTCTGATCTTTGCACAAAAATAGTGGAAGTAGATTTAGGATGTAGATTAGTTTTTCAGGTACTAGCATAATGCTGCAGCTTATCAGTTGAATAATATCATAAAATATTTTCACCCAAGAAAGATACAAACATTTTAAGAAATCATCACACTTCAGACCTAATTCTGGTGCTACCAGAAATCTATTCTTCATTGATAAAAAACTAGATCCTGAATCTGAGTTCTACATGTTGTTGTGTCACAGTAATTATATTTAGAAAAGCGCATCCTAGGGAACTTTCACAGTTGATTGCATTCATTAATTAAGCTGCTAGGATCAGCCAGTTAGTTAGACAACGTGCTGTTTAACCATTAGCAGATCCAGAAATGGGTGAACAAGTTAAGGATTTTTCAAAAATAAAAATAAACATGCTTGAAGCTAGATTCTGTTCTGGATGTCACATACGTCACTACTTACAATAAATCATTTAAGAAAAACTTCAAACTATACAGTACAGAGCTTACTCTTCAAGCAGGAAGATTCCTTTTTGGAAGGGAGTTCTGTGATAGAAGAAAGCGGAATGCAGGACATAGAGCTACTGACTTAAAATAGAAAATAACTTCAATCATCAAACTTGATATCTTTGAGACTGTCAAATCTTTGACCGTCTAGTTTTGAAAACTGATGAAACAAACTCTTTGGTCCAAAATCACAGTCATAGTCATTTCTATTGAAAGAAATAACAACAGGCTGAGAATTCAGGTATGTCTCTGCAAGTGGCCAGCATAAACCAAGGTGATGGCGATGGAGCTAAAATAAGAAGAAATAGATCCATTTAGACATTTTGATATAGCAGCCTGAGAGTTCCCAATTTGAGGGGGAAGGAGGATTCAGTTCTAGGATTCTCTGTACTAGATCAATTCTGATAAACATTTATTAATTATCTGTTAGAATAATATGTCTAAGTGAAGCACAAAAAGCAAACAGGAACCACTGTGTCCTCTGAAGCATCAGAAATAAAAATTAACTTGGTAATTAATAAAAGATTACATCAACAATGCTTATTTTCTAAGTCAACATTACAAGAAGTGAACTTTTTTAAATAAAGTTTTAAAATGTTGACTAAATCCTGCGTAGACAGAAAATTATTTTATGTTCTCAATTACTATAAACATAATGTAGATAATAAAGAAATATATTAAACCATCAGCTGTACTGAATGCAGTGGCTTGCTTAATTCTACTGTAACCAAGTAATAAAAAATTTGAAAAGCAAGGTAAAAAGTGAATGATAAGCCACAATGCCTCAGCTACTACAGATTATTATATTGCTTTCTACACATCTATCTATCTATTTACCTTGATTAAACATCCATCACGGCAGTGCCAAACAATTCCTTCAACTTTACCCTCACAGCAGCCTTCAAACCACGACACTATGTCGCTTCGTTTCAAAGTAGGTGGATTCTTAATTTCAAATGCTCCATGTGGTACCAGAAGATGCACAGGTTGCTTTTTGCTTCCCAATCCTATGTTAAATGAACAAAAATCTTTCTGCAGTTATGTGTTTTAACCTCACTTTACCTCACTTTTATTATAGACATCTAAAAGTGCTCTATAAAGGCAGATCTCTATTAGACTCTGCAGCAATATACTGTCTTTAAAAGACCAATTACACATAAATATCAAATGTAGCTATCTTTTCCTCATGCAACTTTTATTTACAGAACATAAGTTAACATGCCTCAGATGTTACAGTGTTCAGTTTCATGCTCATGTTCACCTCCTCAGTAACCACAGAGCGACTAAATTCTTCATGCTTCAGATCAATCCATATCACAGATATCTTAGTTTGTGAAACTGCTTATTTTCTAATGAATGTGCAATAACACTTAGGCAAGGCTGTTTAATAAAAGAAAAGAAACATTGCCTCTTTAGTGACCGAAGATTTATACTGAAAACTAAGACCAAAACTATACAAAAAAGTTGTTGCCATTTGTTTAAATTCTAACATAATGCTCAGACCATGTACCATTTTTCCTGTACTTCCTTGGCAATTACCCTTGCAGCCAAGCAAGGAAGTTAAAATTCATCTGTGCTCATGCTGAAGTGTGTTTTCTGTTAACAAGCTTTGAAAGGGAGAAATAACAGTCAAAATTTAGCTTTAAAATTACATTTCCTTAAGAAGAGACTCATAATATTTAACTATTTTAAAACTGCAACTCGTGACTAATTCTAGGGACGAAAAAATCTAAGGGTGAATAAAATTTTCTATTTCAATAAACTAAGCAGCATCAAGGAAAGAAGCACCCTCAAACAATCTTAAAATATTTTTTAAACTGACATTTAAAACAAGTTTTCCAGTTAGTGTATTTTTTTTTTCTGGGAAATTCTCATTAAAAATGTGCTCATTAACTGTCTGAAAATTGCAGTAAGGATTAGTTAAAACCTGTGCCTTGACTACTGAGAAAGCACAGCCATTTTTCAGATGTCACAGAGCTCTGCATCAGTATAGCAGAAACCTCAGTTTTAGGTGTGGCATAAACTGTTTCCTATAAATAGATATATATAATAGGCATATGTTTTTTAAAATCACAGTTATCTTCATGCAGAAATTTTTATGGTTCTTTGCATGAATAAAAACTGCTGCTCTTTGTTGAAAAGCTACAGCAAAGCATTTTCATATTAGCTCCTGAAGAACATGCAGGCAGACAGAGGTTTAACACACAAACTTGTAGTAATTTTACGTTCTAAGCTGAGTGCATTTTGGGTACCAACCTTAGAGTATTCTTTGAGCTAGCCCTTCCTTTCCTTCCTAATAAGTGTTACATATTTAAACATGCCTTTTCCTTTCTTCTATTTAAAGAGAGAAAAAAAAAAAAAATGAACAAAATTAATGCCTTTCCAGCTAAAACATCACTGAATAAAATATTTTATCGATACAAACTTACCATATGGATTTGCATTAATATTTGTCCCAATAAGCTCCAGTGTTTGTTCTAGAAGTTCTGACAGTGATACTGGTCTAATTTCCAAAAGCCTGGGGTCAGCATGGTGTTTCAATACAAGTGCCATTTCAGCCTCATAATTTACAACAGACGAGTGCCAGCAGTACTGCTTACTGTTTTTCTCCACGGGCACCCAACCTATGACAAAACATTCCATTTTACCAAAGTATCTGAATTTATCAAATGCCAATTAAAACTGTATATGCATTAAAACCAGACCAAAACAACAATGAAAAACCACAACAGTTACCTTTGCTAAAAACAGAGTAACTATTGAAACAGATCTCTAAGAAATACAATACATACATGGCAATTTTCTAGCATGAACATGCAGAACTTCAGCTGAAGACAAACTGTAATTATTTTCAGTATGTCAGAACAAAGCCTTTCTGGATAATGAACAAATAATATTTGGATTGTTTTCTATATGTGCTAGCTACTATTTTTAATAATTCTGATTCACTTCAAAACAGTATTTTTTCACCATTTTACCATGTGTACCTGGCATGTGTCCATTTTCGTCAGGCAAAGGATTGCCATTAGAGAATTCTATTTCCTTGGCTGGGATCCAGGTATCTGGAACAGGCTTGAAATCCTCTTCAACATTCCAAATAAATTCTAGACATATAAATGCAGCATTTAGAATTTGGCAAACTGTTGGAATTACATTTTAATCCTCTGTCAATGTGAGCATTAAAATACTGTGATCTAAACCTTATTTGAAAGACAGCAGTGCACATTACTTTGTAAAAGCACCAATGCTTGATTTTCAGTCTAGAATTATGAGGTTTAAAGAAACATATTAGCCTTTAAGTAGTTAAGATTAAGAAACAGCTACCTGAATAGCCTATAATATATTTAAACTAGGACAAGAGAAGAAAAGATGAGTGACATGAAAAAAAATGGAGGTGGATAAGTGACACTTCCTGCATCAGATGAGATGCATTTTCCTGCAGAAAAAAAATCTTTACTGACCTTTACAATCTTCCACTGAATATAAGAATCGTTTGAACCTTTTTTCAGCTTGTTTGTTGGGTCTTCTGTCCAGCCTGGCCCATAGGTATGGTTGCCCTACAGATCCCAAAGTTATAAAAACAGTGGTTTACTTACGTAGTCATACCCTGCTCAGTACAGAAATCAACTGCATAAAAGTTCAAGCATGAAACTGTTGCTTATTTGTCACTACAAAAATTTTACATCCAAAGGACTGTTTTAATTAACAAATTAGTTATTGTATACAAATCTGGAAATCTACTTGTAGAATTTTGTCTAGTTTAATACAAAATTTTCTTGCAATTTCGGGACAGGAACCCCAGCGATGCAATAAGCCAATCTTCTAATTTTCTCCCAACCTCCACCATTTTGACCCTACTCAAGGAAATCAAACATCCTGTACATAAACTCTAGCATGCAAAGTACATCTACGACTAATAATTTTTGAAATGAGGCAAGTTAACTTAAACTATACTGCATATGTATCAGAGAGTAAAATCTCCAACAATTTTATGGACACTAATATACTTATAGTAACTATTACTTTAGTATTACAACTAAAACAGGCTACTAGTCAGCATGAAAAACTTGTATATTGATCTCCTTTATTACCTTTGTAGGTAGTTACATAACAGCAGGTTCCATCCACCTTTTCAGTAGGAATTGCATTGTATATATCTGCCTCTAATGCCTTTTCATTTAGGGTTTCAGTTGCCAAAACTTTAAACGGCTGAAAAGAAGACAGGTATTTTAAATCCTGATCACTGCTACATTACTGCATTGTTCTCATACATTCTTGCTTCATATCACTGGCCTCTATAAATCCAATGCTATATGCTATATTGCTGATTTCTAATACTATCAAAATGAATAGTCGTTTCTGCAAAACAAGTTTGAAAAATAAATGCTGTAAGACAAAAAAAAAAAAAAAAAAAAAAAGGCAAACGGTTTGTAAACTCTGACCGTCCTTTCCATTCTTGATTAGTATTTTGAGATTACTTTGCCTCCCTCTTTAAATGGGGCATGTTATCTATGCAGGTTCCAGTCTAATGCAACAGAATTGGGTTAGAAGGGACCTTAAAGACCATGTAGTTCCAATCCCCTGTGGCAGGCAGTGACCATTATAGGGTGCAGCTACTGATGCATTGGCATTACTCTCTTTTTTCCACTCCTTAATCAGTCAGCAAAGGGAGAAAAAAAAAACAAAACACAGACGGATCCCACCTCACCACGCAGCGCACAGGTTTTTCACTCTAACCGGACAGCAGAAAGTGGAAGCCTACAGCCGCACAGACGGATGCTACCGCCTCTGACATTTCGCCCTCGCCCCCCGGGCGCTCCCCTGCAGCCGGGCCGGATCCACTTAGGCGACACCTCCGCTGCCGCCGACTCCCGGCCTCGGCCCACCGAGCACAGCGCCTCCCGCGACCCGCGCCGCCGCGGTCACCTGGCGCTCCCGCTTGGCCGACGGCTCCTCCTTCACCTCGGTCACGAACAAGCACGGCACCTTGCGCTGCACCGCGCCCCTGCGGCTCATGGCCCTGCCGACCCGATCGCGCCGCCGGCCCCGCGCCCGGCCGGAAGCGCGCCCGCACCGCGCTGAGCCATGGGAGACGTAGTCCGGCTGCGCGCGGCAGGAGCCCCATGGCAGAGCGAGGCCGTCTCTCGCGGCGGGCGGGGGTGTCCCGCCGGGACGGGGCACGCGCTGGGGCTGAGGCGAAAGCCGTTGGCTGTTACTTCAGCGGCTGATCTCGCTCGACGGCCTTCACTCCGCCTCTGTGCGGGCATGGAAGCGGTGTCCCCAAGGAGCGGAGGCTTCTCGGTGTCAGGTTGTGCCTGGGGAGGGACGGCCGCCTCCTTTCGTTGCCCGGGTTCTCTGCGCTGTCAGAGTTAGGGTAGTTCCTGACAGCGGTAGCTGTTTGTTTCAGTGCATGCTCCTGCCCACTGATCGTTCGTTATTCATTCTCTTAATCTGTTCTCCTTAATTTTCTTAACTTTCCTGAGTGCTGAGTTCAGGTGGAAAAGTGTGCCTAACTCCTAGAGCCCTTTAAATGTCTTTCCTCTGTTGAAGCTCTTGCTTTTCCTGCCCACATTGAGCCTAGCCAGCACTTTCGAGCAAAATCATCGCAACCCAGGACAGGATGAGAATGGAGGGGTTAATTGGTAACACAGGTATAAGCTGTTCTCTCTGCTTTAGCTGTGGCAGTGGACATCATGGGAGCAAGAGAAAGCAATTAACATAAACAACATCAGCAGTCAGCACCTTAGAGCGTACTGACAGGAAGAAGCAAGTGTCTCAGTCCAAAGAGAGATACGGTAAGAAAAACATTGTGCACAAGGATTTTAGGGATAAGATTTGTATTTGGTATATCAAAGATTTGTTTTGAAGACCACAGCTTCTGCAGTGAGAAGTTGGGTATCATTTAAACTATGCCAAATGGGTCCGTTCCTTTTTACGTCAAACTTTTTGAAAGAAGAAACTTTGCTAGAAGAAATTTTGAAAGGAGTATACAATAAACTCTTGGAAAAGGTTCAATTTTTCATGCTTAATTCAGTGAAAATAGGGAAGATGTCCAAGCCTGAAACGCTACGTGATGTTATCTGATGATGTCACAGGATCTAGAAGAGCATTGGAAACCGTGGAAACGTAACATTCTAGCCACCATCTTTGACAGTTAGCAAACCTGGCTCCTTAGCTCTGCTGTACTTAGTTTTAGCTACACTGTCAGTTGGAGTTTTGTTTCAAAACAGAAGCAGAGTTGAATTTCTGAAAACTCAATTTTTAAAGAAAACTACTGTTTTCAGGATAAAATTAAGATTTCCCTGTACAGGGATAGCTTTTATGTTTTAATGTATGCTCTGCCTGAATAAAACGAGTAGAGTAGATGCATAAGAAGTGAAAATGGCTGAAGGTGGGAATAACTGCTACTTTTATTCTCCATACGCACAGGTAAAGGCAATAGATTTTGGAGTGGTCAGCGTCCTTGAATTCTTTGATACATGCATATTTAGATGGGGATTTATTACCTAACATTAGAAGTTGCTATGTCTTTATCATGGCAGTATGTGTAAATCAATTGTCTGATTTTTCAGAAGTGAGAAGGGCGAATTGTCCTAATTATTCCTGTGACTAGGGCTCAGATACTCAGGAAGCAAAGAAGTTTAAAATTCCTCTTAAAAATCACTCATCACTCATCTCTCTTTATCTGTCAGTGTTATATTAAATGAGTAGACCATGTTTATAGTTTCCACTTACACTGACTACCTGAATTTCTTTAAAGCCTGTTATAGAAATTGAAGCCATTCATAATGAGTTTTGTCCTTTAAAGAAATATTTACTTTCCAACTGGTAAAAATCCAGGGCTAGATACAGAGTTCATGGTTATTGTATCTATTTGAGCATTAGTGTTTTAGGTATTAATGCTTTGGAGGCAGGCTTTGGCTCCAAATCCCAGCATGTCTCAGTGCATGAACCAGCTATATTGACGGAATTCCAAAAGCAATGTGGTGTTGAGATGCTGCTCCTTGATTCTACTCCCTCAGCTGCTAATGTTTGTAGCTGAGTGAAACTTATTTCCCCAAAGCAGATGGGAATATTCCAGTTTACTTTGGGGAGAATTCAGGCAATTTAAAGTTTTTGTTTTCCTTAAAAAAATAAATAGACAAATTCTTTAAGAAATAGCTGGTCGTCTGCTGTTTGCAACTCTCAGCTGGCATATAGTTCATATCCCAAATATAAACTTGATTTTCCCATCTTCAGAGTGTTGTTCTTGAGCACATGCCTATTTGTAATTATGAGTTTCCTTGAGACGTGCTGGAGAATGATAGCTCAGGTTATAGGGAAAAGTGAATTGTATGATTAGAGACAATGCTAGAATCAAAATAATAAGGAGGAGAATAGAATTTTGACTAAAGAAAGGGACTTTCATTGGAAATGTGCTACTTGTGCACTATGTACACAGACATAATCTGGAAAAATCTTAATCAGTGTAATCCCAGCGTTGTGATTGTATGTAGAAGTGAAGCAGCAATAATTAAATAACTAAATGAAACAATGTCAATAATTTCTTTTTCCCATTAAGCTTCTGTGTGTCATATGAAAAAACAACTGGCAGATGGCATAGGCAGTGTAATGATAGTAGTAGTCTCAGAACATCAAATCCTGAACATTTTTGGTAACTTGTAAATATATTTCATTACAGTATTTTTATTCTTGGCTGCTCTATGGTCTCTCCCATTAATGAAAAGAAGTTTTATTGAAGGAGACTCTCACTTAAAACAGCCACTAATACATCGTATATAGGAATTTAGTATGTCTAAGCCTCAGAATCCTCCTCATTAGGATTTCTAGTGAAGATTCTGTCACTGTGAAAAACCTCTTAGCTGTGATACCTTGTGTACATCATGTAGACAAGGGAGGTGTTTACACAAAGGTAGAGAAGGGAGTGAGTTCCTTCAAGGACAATTTTAGTCTGAAGTCAAAAGTGGCTTTCTTGTGCCAAAGTGTTTTTGAATAGGAAATTAAACAAAAGAGTTTTATTCCTTTCTTTGGTAATCCATGTCTGATGAGTCTGTACAAGGATTAAAAATTCTTAAATTAGTACATTTTCCATTTTTTAAGGCATCTTTATGTTTTTGAGTTTTGTTGTCCTTATTTTTCCGCAACTCCATGTCTTTTAAAAGAGTCTATGAGTGAGATTTGCACGTATACAGCAGACTTCATTTGAGATAGGTCTGATTATCCCATTCTGTAGAAGAGGAAACTCAGGCACACATTAGTTAAATAAATATGGTATACAATAAAAATTTTTTTTTCTTCCCAACATCTCATAAAATGTCTGCAGTGGAGTATGTTGCAGGAGAGTACATAGACAGATTTACTCTATTCTTATCTGGCAACAGTTCTGTATCATTTGGCTTAAGTACAGATAACTTTAAACATTTTAGCAGACCGCTATATGGTCTTCCTAAATGTTACTCATCTATTCCTTGCAGTACAGTGTGTGTTAGTCAGTATAGTCCACGTGTATTCTTACATTTACAATGTCTGAAAATGCTTTGTCTCACAGCAAAACTACAACAACATCTTGTGTTTCTGGGAAACGCAGCCATTAGGCTGTGTGAGGATCAGTTGCATCTTCCATCATAGCAAACCTCGTACTATAAATGGACTTTTTCTACCACCTAGTAGCAGTAAGTAAAAGTATTTTCTCAACAATTTGTCTAGTAAAATAAGTAAATATTGGAAAATATCCTTAAACTTCCACTTACATAGTGCATGTTAACATCAAGAAATGCACCACTACAAATAAATCAGGCGTGACCAGCTATCCCATCAAGTTCAAAGTGAATGAAGGAATTGTATTGGTATATGGATGGGTTTCTATATTAATTTATGCAGTGGAATGTTACAAATCTTCATAGCCACTCATTACATAAAAGATAAATTAGGAAATGGCAATTTAGACTGTTAAGATTTCTGGAGTACAAATTTTACACTAACTTTTCATCTGTGCTGTATTTTTGGAGTGGTAGATGGTAAGTCATCCTTTTTTGCAGTAAATAGAAAATACAATTCAGATTTAGTCTGAAGATTTTGTTTTATAGAAATAATTAATCTTTTAGCTTCTGAATTGATAGGGTCTTTTCAGACCTCACTCTAGAGCATCATTCAGGGACTAAAGTATTAAAATATTTTCCTTCTCCAGAATGTAATAGTTGACACTCAACTGTTTCACAATGAATATCACCAATAGATTGCAGTTGTGTGCAGTACACTTTCTGCACTATCATTTTCATATATTAAGTTCATACATGCAGACAAACCCAGTAATTTTCTGAGAAAGCATCTGAAATTATCCATTTTATCTGTAAAAAATGATTAATGTAGTTTATTTCCAACTACTACAGATTAGAGAAAAGAGAAACTAAAAGCAAAGCAAATTAACACCACCTTCCCCTCTGTCCACTCTCTTCTACCTCCTCCCCTGAAGCAGCACAAGGGAATGGGGGGTAGGGGATTGCAGTCCATCCTTAATGCTTTGTCTCCGCTGCATCCTTATGATCACTCTTTGCCCAGCATGGGGTCACTCCAGTGAGATGCCATCCTTCCTGAACTGATCCCACATGGCCTTCCCACAGGCTGCAGCTCTCCAAGCACTGCTGCAACACAGCTCCATACCCCAGGTTCCACCCTTCAGGCAGTGCCCCACATGGGTCCCCACGGGCAGCAATAGTGATGTTTGTATGAGTTTCCATACTGCTTTTAGTGCAGTTTCCACATCCACAACATCAGCCTCGGCCAGCCAGAGCTATTGTAAACTTAAGTACACTTTTGGGTATGGTATGAACTAGTCAGGATGCCCAAAGACACTGCGCATGAGGCACCCTTTCTAGGAGTAATGCCCCCAAAATCAGAGTTAGAAAATGGACCTGTTTTATTTTACTGGAATATGTGTAACTCCACAGTTTGGGTGCTCACAGTAACACTGCAAGTACTAAAACTATATTTATTTGTTTCAAGACTTAAAAATCTTGTTAAAGTTTGATTTGGCTTAGT